CTGGGGTACAGACCAGAAGTGCAGGGGGGGTGAGAGGATTCACCAGAGACAGAGTAGGGAGCAGAACAAGCTGACTGATGAAATACACTGCTGAGGGGAGCAGTGGGAGGGGTCAGGAGAGGTCTGCCATGCCATGTGGGTCACCTCCAGGGCGGGGATCAAACTCATGCTGAAGGGGCTTTAGCTTCTCAGTGCTGTGCTTTAACCCTCTGTGCCACCAGGGAGGGCCCCATCTGTTTATTTTTTTAAAGATTTGTTTATTTATGCATACAGATTTGGGGTACAGGCCATAGGTACAGGGGTATGAGAGCATTCACCAGAGACCGAGTGGGGAGCAGAACAGACAGACTGACAAAGTACACTGCTGAGGGGAGCAGCGGGCAAGACAGGAAGAGGTCTGCCACGCCATATGTCACCTCCCTGGCTGGGGATCAAACTTGCACGGAAGCAACTTCAGGTTTCCATTTCTTCACAACCTCACCAGTACTTGCTATTATCTTTTTTTTTTTTTAATAGTCATCCTATAGGTATCCTATAGACATTGCACAGTTTTTTATTTGATTTTTCTCTGGTGGCAAGTGATGTTGAGCATCTTTGCATTTGCTTCTTAGCCACGTAGAAATACCTATTCAAGTCCTTCGCCTGTTTTTGCATTTTTTTTAAAGTTATATGAGCTCTTACTGCTTTCTGGGTTTAATGTCCTGCCAGAAATATGGCTTGCAAGTGTTCTCTCCCATTTGTAGTATCCTTTGACATGTGAAAGTTTTAAATTTTGATAAGTCAGATTTACCTATTTTTCCTCTTATTGTATGTGTTTTTGGTATCAGATCTAAGAGGTCATTGCCAAATCCAGTGTCATGAAGTTTTTAAATGGTCTTTAACCCATTTGAGTTAAGTTTGTGTATGGTATAAGGTAAGTGTTCATCTTCATTACTAAGAGGATGTGGTAGCCGAGCAATCCAGTGCAGAAGACCCAAACATCATGAACGCTGAAGGCCAATTCAGTGGGAGAAGTTACAGGGTCAGGGGCCCAACCTGTCTGGAGAGGCATGGCAGTAGCCATGGTATTCACAGGGAAACCTAGTTCTGGGAATCCACTCACTTTAGTCATATCCTGAATCTAGCTATATGGGTAAGTCACTAATGGGATCCAGCTGCCCAATATATGGGGTAAGTTGTTATTGAGGTGCAGGGCCTTGGGACTAACAAGATGACTAAAGAGAAGGACAGGGCTTGACAGCAGTGGCCCTCCAGTACCGGGCAAGACAACTTGTCACTCAGATGGGGGCATGGTGGTCAGAGGAAGTCAGAAAAGTACTAACTAGATATTACTGGAGTTACCAGAGCTCACGCTAAAGCAATGTTATATAACAAACAAGAGCTTCACTTAGGAGTGGGGTCAAGACTGCTGATAAAATTCCTGCATGGCCAGGAAATAAAGGAGGCCAGTCTCTGGACTCTGAGGCCACTCACAGCTGGATAAAATCACTAGAGAAACAGCACCTGTCTTAAACATGGTCCACAGCCCTGAGGGTGGTCTGCTTTTTCTTTTGTATTTTAAAATGTCTTTAAAAAACTATTTTTACCTGACTTCTTTTTATGAACCCTTAGGAACCTGGCCAATCAGGAACCTCTTTTGTTATAGGTGTGCCCACTGCCTTACCCCCCGCCCATCTGATCCTTTTGCACGCTTCTGTCAAGAATGTGGCTCTCCTGTCCCACCCATATTTGGCCATCGTCTCCCGCCCCCAGAGGGAGCTCAGGTGAGCAGCAAAATCCTGAAAAATATCTTTCATTGGCTTATATGATCTTTATTTGTAGCAGTAGCATAGTCATTGGCACACAAGAACCAGAAATAAAAGTGCTTATTGAAAGATCCTGGTATGTTAATCTTCTTATTCAAATTTCTTCTTCTCCTTCTTTTTTTTTTTTTTTTAGATTTATTTATTTGTTCATATAGAACTGGGGTACAGGGCAGAGGTGCAGGGGTGGTGAGAGGCTTCACCAGAGACAGAGTGGGGAGCAGAACAGGCAGATCAATGAAGTACACTGCTGAGGGGAGCAGCGGGCGGGTCAGGAGAGGTCTGCCGCGCCATGTGGTCACCTCCGGGGCAGGCGGGGATTGAACTCATGAGGCAGTGGCTTTAGCTTCTCAGTGCTGCACTTCAACCTGCTGCGCCACCAGGGAGGGCCCCAAATTTCTTCTTAAGAATGGAAAAGCATGTTTGCAATGCCATTTCATTTGCATGGCCTTACAGAAACACAGGCTGAGAAACAGGTGCAGACATTGCTTGCTCGGTGATACGTGCATGGATAAATATGTTATTTTCTACTCATGTCTTGAACAGAAGATATTCTGGGAAAAAATGGAGAAAGTGTACTAATTACAAGTGTACATATCTATATACCAAATAAAATGGAAACAGGTCCCATTGTTTTGAATTTTCCTTGCTTATATTCAATGATGCAGTGTCAAAGTTATTGTTTTACTAGCCTGAAGACCTATCTTCAGAAATTTATTTTTACAGAGAGAAAATTTTATCAGAGATTATAAATATATAAAATGAACTTTGAATTATCTACACTGCCTCCCCCATTATACTTATTAATACAGTATACAAACAACTGTGTACTTAAAGCTATTTGTTGAGTATTTATTATGCTCTTCTCTCCGCTGGGATTCTGAGGTTCAAAAGGGGCAAATCCTGGTTGGAAACCCAGGACACATGTACCTTGTGAGAGAAATGCAGAAGTATACTTGTCAGCTCCAGATCTCCCCTTCCTTGACAGTGGCCTTCAATGAGGATGGTTATTTATTATTATTATTATTATTATTATTATCATTATTATTACTATTATATTCCTGTGGTACTGGATTTGGACCAGTACCTCCTTTACCAACTGTCACCAAACAGTTCTCCTTTACCAACTGTGAATTTTTGTCAGTGGAGGGATATTTCAGGAGAGTGGACTGGTCTTTCTTTTGGGTTCTGGTATGCTTTGCTCTTTTTGCTTTGATGGTGCTCAGCTAACCCCTAAACACCTAGTTGTACTTTAACTACAGTGGATTTCAATGCTATTCTCTGTGAGTTTCCTTGGCATTGCAGCCAGGCATCCCTCTAGGTGACTTCCCAGAAAGATTCAGCAGCTTCTCTGCACGTGGCTTCCCAGTATGCCTGCCAGCTTCCAAAGGGAGATCCCTGATGAGTTTTAGAGGACCTCAGTGGGGGGTTGTTTGTTTGCTGGTTCTGGTTTGTGTTACTCCATTGAACTTCTGTCATCTAATGGGCAATAGCCACAACCGGTTCAATTAAGTGCCTCTTCCAAATTTAGGCCTCTTTGGATTTTCTGCCTCAGCCATGGAAGTAGTAGCCTCCTCCCTGCATTGCATATTCCTATATTCTTTAGAGTTTGTAGCTAATTAATAGCTAATCCTCTGTGACTAGTTAATAATTACTTAAACTTCCTTTGTTTGAACTGCTGTGTGGCTTTTGTCTTGACTGGACACTGATACAAAATTGATACCATTAGAAGCCTCAAGAAAGAGACATTGAGAGATGGGATTTTGGAGGTGGTTTAGGCTTCTCTTTGCTCAAGAACAGCACTGAGTTGCTTCCTAGTGGGAAACATGACACCAGTATTGGACGCATGAAGAACATGACAGTTGATCAAGCCGATAGTGATGAAGTGTAAACAGAAGCGAGTATCTTGAGTGTATTGTAAGAATACACTCTTAATACACTTAATATAATGCAGTGGCTGCTTCACTTAATATAATGCAGTTGTGACAACTGCAAGGACTATGGTATGAATGTGAATGGAGTCTCCTGAGTACAGGAACATTCCCAGAAACTGACTTGCTCAGGACCTTTAAGTCATAATCTGAGAACCGAGCACTCCCATGATAGCCCTAAAAAAAGTCTATTTGTTGTAGATCCAGGGTTCTATTGCTGAAATCAAACACAAAATTTATTTGTATCTGTTGGTAAGCTATAACATCAACTGAATTCAATTTACCATCATGTTTCTTATAAGAAAGTTAGGGCACTCATTGGGAAAGAATGAGATCCTGAACTTGGAATGGAGGTGCTGGGTCAGACCCAGATGAAACCAACCTAGATGAAATTACTCAGATCCTGCCAGTGGATGTAGATTACCTGCTTTTCTGAGGATACTAGCTTCCTTTGTTTGAAATCCTCACATGGGACAGTGGCCTTCAAAGAGGATGGTTGTTCTTAAGACCCATAACAACTATCCTGTCACATGACTATCGCCCAATTCCAGAATGCTACAGAGAGGGACAGGCACACACTATAATCCAGCAGGAGCTAGCTTACAAGGAGTGTCTGATTTTGCTATTATAATTGGCAGAATCTTGGGAAACAGGTAGTGGAGCTGGATTTTAAATGAGGGCAGGATATAACACTAAATTGGACCAGACTTATACATGCATTTTTTTTATATAGTCAAATGCAGCTAGAGGTGGCTCTTTCTTTGTTGGCTGACTAAAACTTGGACTCAATAGTGATCTGTATTTAGTAAGATTGAGCTAGCAGCACTCCCTTGGCATCACATGGAGGAAGAGAGGAATGGTGGAAGAGCTTTGTCTTTTGTGTCCTGTACCGTTTCCCCTAAACCCCGCCTACATTTCACAAGATGCTTCCTTCATGATGGCATTGAGGGATATTTTAGTAAAAGGAGCAGCTGTATTCTTGAACAGTTCTGTGGTTGCTTCCCTCTTTAGGGCAGACAGGATCATGGGATATGCCACCGTGGAGTTAGGCTCCCTGATAGGGGGTGGGGTGAGGTGCGCGGGGTGGGGTGGGGTGGGTAATAGAATTCCATAGTTACAGAGTTAAGTGACAGTGTTTAGCTGCCAAAGACAAAAGGGCATATCTACGGTAAAGGGCAGCATTACGTGTCAGTAATCAGAATCTGATCATGGCTGTAGGGACAAAGTAGATAGGCAGCCTACTAGTATACAGGCTGGTCTAGATGACTGAGATTAAAAAGAAAAAAATAAACACTAAGTCTTGCTGTCAAGAACCTGTTTATTACAGTGGAGCATCCAAGTCTTCCATTCAGTTCCCAGACCTAAGTCAGTCACAAAGCCAGAACTTCTTGAGAATGGACCCTGCTTGGTTGCAAGTACATATCATGCAGCTTCCTTGGCCTTTTTCAAAGGAGCTTTCTCAGTAGAAGGACTAGATCCTGGGGAGAAGGAAATACACATACCTTTGGGGGTTACTGGCTCTGAGTTGATGCTAATTTTTGGAGAATTAAAATATCACTATGGCCCACCAGCAAAAATTGGAACTTAAGATTGGTCAGTTGCGAGAGAGCGAGTCCTTCCTCCTGTTTTTGTTTTGTTCATTCTGGGTGTCTGTTATTAGGTTCAAAGACATTTAAAGTGCTGACTTTACTGACTTATCATAAATGGTCTCTCTCTCTTTAGTAATATTTCTTGTTTAAAGTTCCCTTTTTGCTGAAGTTTATAGAGCCACTCCATTTTCCTTGTGGTTACTATTTATATTACATCTCATTTTCTGTACTTTCAATTTTCAACCTATTTGTATATTTGACTCTAGGGTGTATGTCTAGTGAACCCAAGTATATACTTGTGTCTTTCTTTTCTTTCTTTTTTTCTTTTTTTGATTTATTTATTTATGCATACAGCACTGGGGTACAGGGCAGAGGTGCAGGAGCAGAGAGAGGATTCACCAGAGACAGAGTGGGGAGCAAAACAAGCAGATCAACAAAGTACACTGCTGAGGGGATCAGCTGGCCAGACAGAGGTCTGTCACGCCATGTGGGTCACCTCCCTGGCTGGAGATGGATTGCTGGGTCATATGGCAGCTCCATTTTTAGCAGTTTGAGGATATAAGCACTTTTTTCCCTATTGTTACTTTCAAGATCTTCTCTTTGTTTTTGACATGTAACAGTTTGACTACATATGTAGATGTGCATGTCATTGTGTTTGGTTTTCTTGAGGTAATTGAATTTATGGATCTGTAGGTTAATATTTTCTTCAAATGTGAAGATTATTGGCTGTTATCTCTTCGGATTCTTTTTCTGCCCTTTTCTCTTTCTCCTTGTCTTTTGGGATTCTCACTTCACATATGTTGATATTCTTGGTGTTGCTCCACAGGTCTTTGATGGTATGCTTATTTTCTGTGCTCTTTTTTCTCTCTGTTGCTGAAATTTGAAACTTTTCATTGTTATATATTCACATTAATTGATTCTTCTGTAATCTTTAGCCTGTGTTGAGTCACATTGGACATTTTTTTTTTTTAAGATTTATTTGTGCATACAGAACTGGGGTACAGGCCAGAGGGCTAGGGGCGGCGAGAGGCTCCACCAGAGACAGAGTGGGGAACAGAACAGGCAGATCGAGGAAGTACACTGCTGAGGGGAGCAGCAGGCGGGTCAGCAGAGGTCTGCCGCGCCATGTGGTAACCTCCGGGGCAGGCGGGAATCGAACTCATGCGGAAGGGCTTTAGATTCTCAGTGCTGTGCTTTAACCCGCTGCGCCACCAGGGAGGGCCACGCTGTACATTTTTAAAATTTCAATTATTTTCCTTTTCAACACAAGGTTTTGATTTGGCTCCATTTTATTATTTCTCTCCATTGAGATTCTCTAGTTTTTTGGATCATTTTCATCATGCTTTAAATTTTTTTTAACCATGGCTTCCTTTCATTTTTTGGACAGGTTTATGATAGCCATTTTGAAATCTTTGTCTACTAAATCCAACATCTGGACACTCAGAGACAATTTGTAGTGACTATTTTTCCCCTGACTCTGGGTTGCACTTTCTTGTTTTTTGTATGTCTCATAATATTCCTATGAATTCTGAACATTTTTGGTAAAATTTTGTAATGTTTCTGGATTCTCACTTTTTCTCCTAGCGTTGTTATTTTGTTTTTGTTCCCTTGGATTAACCTTTCATGTTTGTCTCCCCCTGCAATGTGTTGCAACTGATTTCAGGTTGTGTTTTTTGTTGGCTTGTTTTTATTTTTAAGCCCAGGTTTATATAGCTTAATGTTAAATCAAAGATTTGTGCTCAAACACCTGACTCAGGGAGGCTTCCATTCTCTGCTGATGGATGCATGTGTTGACTAGGCAGAACATTAATATTTTGGGCTGGTATTAAATAGACCCTTATGCTGATTACCTTATACTGATTTTTCTTGCATCTCCACATATAACCTCCATCAGCCAGGGATATAGGTGCGTGACTTGGGCCTGCTCTGGTTTCTGCTGCACATAATCTCAGTCAAACAAGGAGATGTGGAAGGTTTACTGCAACCCCTGCTCCTGCAACTCCCTGGTAAATCCTTGGCTAATATGCTGATCCACTGACTGCCCAAAGAGGGCCATGATGTCAGGCTAGTGGAGCCAGTGACCCGAGCTGTTTACTTGCCACTAAGGTCATCACCTTTCCAGGGCGCCAAGTCAAGTGAGGCCTGCCCATCACTCGCTTCACAACTGTTGGTTTTCACAGCCTGTCTGGCCATGTGGAGCTACCATACTGATGGGTAAAGGAGAATGGGAGAGACGTGTTCTTATCTGAACTTCAGTTTTTTCAGCCTGTCTTTGTCAACCTTCTGAGTCAGAAATGGTGAATTTTTGTGGTTTTTTGGCAATTTTGTCCAACTCTGTAATTGCTTTTCAGAAAAGGATTTGTTGAGTTCTTACTTCCTCATGTGGTAAAATCTGCTTTATTTTTATTACACATCTGTTTTCTATAATAAAATGCATTTTTTACCCTTGTAGAAATAAAGATAAAGATAATTAGCTTTAAAATATCTTACAAAGCAAATTGACCTTACATCTTAACATCTACTTTGTCATTTCCATTTTTGCCTCTGAAGACAAACCTGACTTCTTTCTTTCTGCAGATGGGGCTATGTGCAGAATGTGGAAGCCTGGTGCCCATGAACACGCCCATCTGTGTGGTGTGCGAGGCTCTTCTCGCTCCGCAGCTGCAGCCGCAGGCCAGCCTCCACCTGAAGGTAATGAAATGTGATCAGAGCATGAATAAAAGATGGAGAAACTGAAGTATGAGTAATTAAATGTCTTTCTGATGAATTTGCTAACAATTGATAATAAAGTCTGTGAACAAAACCCACTCCAGTTTCTGTAAAGGCACGTGACCCCCAGAGTTTAACTTGCTAACAATCTATATTGTGAAGGGGAATATGCAGAAATATGGTCTCTATCCAATTTCTAAAAAGGATTGAGAACAAATTGTTCTATAGCCAACTTAGAAGAATTTTTAATTCATATATTTAAACATAAAGATTGCAATTAATATTGACTTACAATCTTGTCCTTAAAGTGGCTTCATGGTTTTGTTTGCATTTAATTATGGATCCTTACTATGTAAAAAAAGAATGGCTTTGTAATGTAGATTACTAAGTTAAATATCAGGATTTTGCCAAACAAATCATATCATATTGTGAAAAATTTTCTGGTAGAATCATTAAACATACGACTATATTTTTTCTGCATTTTTCAATACACCTCCTTTTTCACCTCAAGAAAATGTGACTAGAGAACAAAGGAGCAAGAATTTTTAGCAATAAGAGAATTTCCTGGGCTTAATGTACAATTAGAGCTGTAACCCTCTTAAAATGACCTTGTGAATTTTATGTGGTCAAAATGTTTTGCATTTTATGGAGAAAAGATAAGTCCACTGTTTCTTCCACCTCCAAGTTCCCCTTCACAGTGAAAAGTTCTAAAGTGTCCCAGACTATGTTACCTTCTGAAAT